CACGTCCATTGCTGCTGCCTCTGCTGCCGCCGCGGTTGAGGTTCACGCCAGAAGTACGGACACGACGACGACCAGGACAACCCAAGACAGCAAAACGCCTACTGCTTCTTTGGCTGCCGAGACGACGAGCACCGAAGCAGTTTACAACTACTACAGACTCTGGTCTCGTTCATGCTACTTCTGAGCATCGGTCGTGAGGCAATGCTGGAGCTGATCGCTCTCAAAAGGATCGTGGCCTTGCAGAGTCGTTAGCGCTCAGCTTCTGATGTGCTGTAGGGTAAGGGTTGGAGATTGGGGGGGTTCTCGGTACTCGGACAAGTCTTGCGCAGGTTCTGCGCAATCACGCGGCGGCTTGGCGGCGTTTACGATGTGGCCGAAGGGCTTGGGCGCCGGAAGCGATGAGTGGACTTGTCTCTCCTCGGCTCTGAAGCTACCATGTGACCTTCGCCGGCCTGAACAGAGGTGGCTGAGTGTGATGCTTGCATTGCAAGAACGGCAAGGACTTGCGATGTCTCGGAAATAATACGGCCAGTTGGCTCATGTCACAGGAATCGTCGTCTGTGCAGCCAGGTATGCTATTGTAGCTAGCTTTCCTTTCAGACTCGATCCCACTAGAACTGTGTCCAAACAGGACGGCCAACAAGTATATGGGTAGTTCTCTAAAGTAGGTTTCCTTTTGAAGCTCCAAACAAAGTAGTAGTACGGCACCCTTATACAAAGGAACGTAAAAATACCAAAACTTTGACAACTACCCATATGACATATGAAAATCGGCCACCTTTCGGCCCTCCCCAACAGCTATGTGAGCCATCATGAGAGGCGGAGATACGGACAACAAGAGAAGGTTGACCACGGAGAGACCTCACTATAAACCCTGAATAGACCCGCCCCCGAAGCCCGTTAAAAAGACCCCCGCATCCCGCATATTACAAAGCGATTGCAAACATCGAACAACAGAGGCACCCGGCTGGTCACGATGTACCGAAGCCTGCATGCGACACTACGAGGCAAAAAAGAAACATGAAAGCTTGGACTGGCCGGGCCCCAAACCAAAAAAACCCTAAAGTCCTAAACGCCCTAAACCCTGAAGGGTCGTTTTGGGTTTGGCCCTCCCTATCCCTCTCCCTATCTCTATCCCTATCCTCAACTATGCGGAGGTGAGTCCACGATCTGCTCAGACGGGGGTCATGTGACCGCCACTGGCCCCCGTCAACCCCTGAAACTACGATGCCCTAATCCCAACCAGCCTTGCCAGTCGCATCATCTTCTCGTTGAACATCTCAGCATCCTGTCCGGCATACCTGCTCACAAACAGAAGACCACTACAACTACTACTCTTTGTTGATAGTACCAGTATTGGTAATATTCGGGTCCTAGATTTAGGGTTTTTTCCCTCCTAGATTTAGGGTTTAGGGCTTGGCTTTTGAGCTTCAGTCACTCAGGGATCGTGGTATGGAGCCCTAGGTGGTAGATCCTTGTTATCAGCACTCCACTCGGACAAGCCAGGCGAGGTTCCATAGGTGCGGGTCGGCGTGAAACTAGACTCGCATGCAGTGGCACAGACGCCAAAGATACTTAGAGCCAAAGACTAGACAAAAGAGCACGGAGTAAGCTAAAACTCGCTGCAGCAGCACCCGCGACTGAGTACTCATGTGTAGGGTCCCCAAATACCAGGATTCGTATCATAATATTATAAAGATTCCTATAACTCCTAGAAAGGGAGCCCGAAACCGCTGCAAGTCTCCCACAAACAACGAGCAGCCGACGAGTCGAGATCATAAGTGATGTAAGGCAAGGGCGGAAGGACACAGTGGGGACGATGGAGGGATGCGCGTACTATATGTTCACACCCCTGCAATTGAGTCCTGTTTTCTTCTCGACAGCGGACACATCGAAGTAAATCTGACATGCTCGTGGATATCTTACTTGCCTCAGTCAACGAACTCGTCCGATCTCTCAGGCTACGCTGGCACAGCAAAAAAAACACAGCTCTCGTGCAAAGTGTTGGCAGTACCTCACAAGAATATAGAGCCCTTCGAAATAATATTTGTCAATTCGCTTTAGGGAACATATCATACAAGAGGAAATTGATCTAGGGACTGTAGGGGAACTACCCCGATATCTGCCTTAAGATTGCCCGCCGACCTTTGCGTGCAGGTTGCCCTATTTAGGGACTGTAAGGTGATTTTATGGGTAAATTTTCCCTCCCTGAGATACCCAAAGGTCCAATTAATAGTACAGTACATACTTTGGGGGCCCAACTAGCTACTAAGTACCTACTATAACGGTACTTGGACCCTTAGGGACAAGGGTGCAGCTCCCTCCCAAAAACCCGTGGGACCATCGCCGGATGGCCGCGAGATCGCGGCTGGCAACAGCATCCTTCAGACCCAAAGCCGACAACCTCGAAGTCTCGAAGTGCGAGGCCGGGGTAACATAGGGGCCGTAATAAGTAGAATAGGGTTCCTGTAAGGGCTCCTCAAGAGGGATCCCATCAACTCCCACACGCATCCATCTTCTAAAGTGCTCGGGATTCAGGCTTTGACGCTTTGAGTTTCGATCTTCTCTCACCCGCTTAGCTGCCTAGGTCGCTCTGCAGAGAACACACCAGAAGAGTTTAGAATCGGGATAGGGAAAATTTCTGCTTGGTGCTGATGCCCACACAGGCAGACACAAAAACAAAGGCGCACAAAAACAACCTCCGCTCATTGAGAATCCCGCACCCTGCCATGGTTGTAGCACAATCTCTGCATCCAGGGAGTTTGGAGCTGTCGGGTGCTTCGCCGAAGTCTGCCGAAGGTAAAGCAATTGCAAGACTTCGAGCTTCAAGCCGGAGCTTTTCAAGTGAAACAGCTGCGACCAAACTGAGCCCGTGGCGTGGTCAGCACACCCCGGCCTAGTTTACGGCAGTCGGCGTTTTCACTGCCAATATCAAGTAGAAGCTTGCTGTGACCCACCAGCCTCTGCACACGGACTCACAGACACTGCACACACACACACACACAGACAGTCAGTACAATGCTGTTCCCAGGCGAGTTTGCCTCCTACTGCCCATGCACAAGACACACTTAGCCCCGCAAACAGGACATGCTGGTGATTTCGGGTGGCTTCTCACCAATAATGGGGTCTACATAAGTTCTTCGATTGGAAGATATTGGAAGCCTAAAAGCGCCGGGCCTGTGTTGAGGCTGACTCTGCCTATTGGATACGGCACCTGACCCCAGAACCTATGGGCTCCAATCCTGGGCATGGCCAGGCTCACTAGACAATTTAGGGACGATTGGCTATTGCGACTTGGTGGCATATCTATGTGAAGTAGAGCATGAAGTAAGACCTGAAAGGTGTCTTGATATGCGGGCAGGAGATCTTGTGCACTAAGCTTACAAAGCTGTGAGATTCTACAGGTGCTGCCAGCTGCAATGCTACATCTCTTGCCCATGCTGGGCTCAGAATCTCGGTTCCCAGCAAGGCTCGGACAAAGGTGTCGAGTTGACCTCACATGCCCAGAACTAAATGCAAGTCCTCGAAGACCCTTTAAGATCTCTCTGAGGTGTGGTCTTGCAGTTGTAATACATTATGTTATATTGTTGTGTTGTATATGATTATACTAGGTTATATTGTATATGACAGTAAACATTACTAAATGTATTGCTCCCTCTCTCTCTCTCTCGCTCTCTCTGCCGCTGCATCCAGAGGGTCTAGCAGGGCCAGGCAATGAGGCTCAGCCCTTCAGGCCCCTCGTGGAGCAGTGAGCCGCCCCTCACAGCAGTGCCGACACAGGTTTAGGGTTTAGGGTTTAGGGGTTAGGGTTTAGGGGTTTAGGGTTTAGGGTTTAAGGCCTGCACTTTCGCAGCCCACACACTACTCAATGACTAAGCATCACGAGACATTCTGAAATATGTTAATCAACTAATGTGATATTAAATGCTAGTACATAGTTAGTCATCAGTTATCAACTATTCCTGAAGAAGACTGACGTCTTACTAAATATTACATAGTATTATCCTACATTATACTGTATAGGAATATAGGAGGCACGACAGAAACCCAAGTTGATCACACTCTGCTAACAGACCAACCAACATCAACGAAACCTGGCAAACATCAAAAGCTTCTGGACGACATTGCGATTCCGTTGATATCCCACCAGTAACACACGCCCTGAGACTCTCAAGCTTAGAAGTCGCAGCCCAACAGCATCTCCAGCTTGAACTTGCCAAATAACCCCCTATGGCCTACGATAATTCGCAAAATCCCCTGCAAGCCTCAACCAGTGGTGAGCAATACGCGAAGCCCTACACTTCTTCACCCTTCTGTGTCTCGCAGCTTCGTGTTCGTCAGCTGCTGTCCGTGGGTGCAAACCGTAACCCCAACCCGAAGCCAACGCCCTGAACCCGGCCGAAGCTGGGCCAGTGACGAAAAGTGCCTCCCACACGCGGCTGGCTTGCTCTGCGCGGCTCCTGTCAGAGGCCGAAGATGATCGAGGATGCGTTACAGGACTTGGGGCGAGAAGGCGGCGGGGGGGGGGGGGGGTGAACAGGGTGGCGGCTTCAGGGCTTCTTCCGCCTTAATCGGCCTCTCTCAGGCTGTGAAATCCCGGGACACTGGGTCCCGGATGGCAGTTTCGTGTTAGAGGATTGAAGGCATTGCAGGGGTGTTCCGGCAACTTGATCAACCTACATGAGAGCTCCATGTCATCATCTATCATTGCGACTTGTTTTTTGCACCAGTGTGCCTCTGGCAACTCAAGTACTTCGAGACAGCTTTCTTCTCCCATTGAAGCTCTTTCGGGGTTTATTGAGACAGATTATATGGTTGATGGCAGCAGGAGTCATGGACAAGAGTGGGAAAACCGCGTCTCGACAGGCAAGTGGTCTCAAAACCCACGCGAGAGCAGAAAGCCCCGGCACAGGATGCGGCTAAGCCACCCCCCGACGCTCAGAAAAAGGAAAAGAGAGCCCCGGAACCGTGGACAGATGTCGTACGGAGACACGAATGACTTAAACAGAAATTGTCGCCATCGCCCTGTCCACCTCAATGTCCGGAAGCTCTGGCAAAGCATCTTCAGCTTTGTGCTCTGCTTGGCGTTTGCAGCAGCCCAGGCCCAGCCCGTGGTCCTTTCCGATGAGAAAGCGCACCGTCGGAGGGCCCAGTAGCGGCACACAGGCGACACGATATGGGCCAGCCAACGACATGACTAAGCACAGAGGGCCAAAAAGAGTGGCTCCCAGAAGGCAATAAACGGGGGAGGAGGGAATTGCGAAGACTGCTACTATCCAACAGCGCAGTGTGACAGCTGCAAAACAGCGGCGGTCTTTGGGCAGGCAACAAAATACAATCCCAAAAACGACGTTCTGAATCTGCATGATGCCACTCGTCCAATCTTGCCGGAGACTTTCACTTGGACGGAGCAGCGCAGGAAGAATCGTCCAGAAGAAGACGCCCACAACCAGCCAAAGCTGACTGTAGCTTGAGACGTCCCCAAGCTCACCCACCAATTTCGCAGTTCGCTGTAGTTCAGGCGTGAGCAGGTTCATGCGGATCAGAACTTTCACAGCTTCTTCAACATCTGGTCCTTTACCGCTCTGCTGCAGCTCAATTTCAATGTTTTTCTTGTCTATCTCCGATGAGCAAGCGGCATCCAAGAGCCTTCCAGTAAACCCATTATGCAGCTGTCTGCTGCGGAGGGTTGCATCTGCGGCCAGTATGCGATCACTTTGGGCCGCCGTCGTCACGCCCAAACCCATCCACCGTAATGAAAGTGGCATGCCATGAAAATCGGTGTGACCTTCTTGCTGGGATATCAGTACATAGGTAAAAACCGTGCTTGTAGCAAAGCATATGATTGCAATGCCTGCCTGTTTGAGAGAGTCACAGATGCTCTCCCATCTGAACCGGCGAGCTAGGGCCACATAAAGGATGCTACCTTTCAACAGAAGTGCATATGCCATCACGTAATAGTACTGACCATTTAAAGCGCCGCCATACACCATCCATAACATCGTGGCTCCGGTAGCTGCAAAGTACAAGCAGCACATGCGAAAAAGGCGACGGTTAAGGCCTGCCTGCAAGACGGCAGTCTGTATTACATCCTTCTGCAAATCATATGCGAGGAAGGCCTCATACACACCTGGGTCCCTCTTATAAAGGAAAGAACACAGGATAGGGCTGATCGGGGCTCTCTATCTATCTCTCTCTCTCTCTCTTTCTTTCTCTCTCTCTCTCTCTCTCTCTCTCTCTCTCTCTCTTTCTTTCTGCAGGGCGTAAGGGTCGCGTGCGACCCCCAGGCGCTCGGCCCGCCCAACCACCCCCTGTATTATGGAGTGGCTGGTTTTTGGGGTAGTCCAGATTATGGCAATGTACAACCCAGTATGATCTGGGCTTACAAGCAGAAAGCACCCCCGAACGCTAAACACAGAAACAACCCCCGCCTCGTCCCCGCGCCCCTATGGCAAACGATCCTTAGCCTATAGTAGGTTCGAGGGGGCATGAAAAAGCCGGTTGAATTGTCTCTCCCCCTGCTCTCGCACAGCAAGGAGAGGATGCCTCTCTCTCTCTCTCTCTCTCTCTGGTCATAAGAGGAAACCCAACTACAAAAACTGCAACAAAAAGTAGCCCCAAGATTGACCAAGACGCACCACAACCTTGTGTAAATCCTCGCTGTTCGGTTCGGGACGGCAATCATCGTGGAAGCCGAGCGCAGAGCTGCGGCGAAGGGTGAATCACTGGGGCTTGGGATAAGGTGCGTGATGTTGAGGTTTTGCGGGTTGGACAAGAAGCAGACATAATCTGCTTTTCCATGCCGTGGCCAGGAGTCTTCTACCCTGTCCAGGAACTCGTATATGCCCTCTGCCCAAGCATGTGTGACGAAAACATCGCAAAGCAAACCGGTGGGGTGCTTGAGCAATGCCCAGCTAATCCTTCCTGCACGATCAGTCAACGGCAGAATGAACGGTTCGTTGACTGTGTATACAGATGGCCCATGATGGCCCACAGGTCAAGTCTGACGTGTCGAAACTATCTTGGTCTGTTGGTTGAATCAATCCCCGGTCGACGGCATGCATCACCAGCCGGCGGAACTGGCGAAGATCGGACAAGGTTACGCACCATCTCTCTTTCGGGACCGACTGGTGCAACTGCAGGCCATCTCCCTGAAGCTTCGGTGACAGGAGCTCGGCATCTTCCGGCTTCAGCTGGTTCCTGCCAGGCCGAAGCGCACAAGTCACGCAAACGCCAAGAAAAAACAAAGCGATACCCAAGATTTGCAGCAGGACGTGGTAGAGCCAGTGGCTTTCCGGAAGTTCGCAACCTCTGAAGGCCACAGTGCCCGGACAGCACCGAAGTAAAACTGCCCTCCCAGCGCGAACTCCTTGTACTCGAGCACCTCGGCCACGAAGCCTTCCCGACATGCACAAGGCTCCAAAGGTGCGCCCAAGGCCCGGCAGTCGAATCTCGCGTCCGGGCAGGGATCGCTCACGTTGCTCGGGCAGCTTGCCGCAGCACCACATGCACCACCGGGCCCTGCGAGGAAAATCCACCACATGAGCTGCAAGAGCCCTTTGGGGACCTGACACTTGTGCCAACTCTATTGGATCAACAAAATTACCCCTGTGGTTTTGTTGGTGGCAGGCAGAGCTGTGAATCGCGCACATGACTGCGCTAACAGCATGGAGCCACCGAAAGGTCTAGCAGACTATAGACCGGCCACCCACGAGCTAGAATCCTAACCCCTTTCAACGATAAGCCCCCTAAACCCTACACCCACATACACCAAGACCAGAGAGTGGACCCTCTGGGGACACTGCAGGGCATAAAACTCCTTCGGCGACTCGCCTCAATGCACTCTGAATGCCGGCTTGCAAGGATAGGATGCCGGCAGTGGCAGTACATGGGGCGCGCTGTAGTGATGCAGATCTAGCTTTCACTCACTGATTCCGAGAAGCGGTGCGACACTGCGGACCTGCGGGCAGCTGCTGAAAGAACTCTGCGCTGCCCTTGACATCAATAACGGGACACCAGCGTTTTTTTGCAGCCGCCTGAGAGCCACAAATGATATACCAAGCGGATCTGAAGATCCCAAAGCCCGAAGCTTGAACCACAGTGAGATCCCTGAGCCCCTGTTGCCTTCTGCAGCTGAACTATAGTACTGTAGTCCCTACTCTACTTGATTAATACATATATATATATATATATATTTATTTATTTATATTTATACATTATGCATAGATACGAGACAGAGAGATAGCTTGTGTATGAACATATACCCCCCAAACCCTGTTGTAAATTATTCAGGCGCCCACGTCTTTGACTGCTTTGGAGCCCTCAAGAACTGTCGTGGCAAATCATTGAAGACTCAGAGCCCCAAAACTCGGTTTAGGTTTTACCCATGGGCTCCATGCTTGTTCCTTTTCGGGGTTACCTTATAGGACCTTTTAGTGTTTTAAAAATGAACCCCCAAAAGGAACTACTATGGAGCCTTAGGGTATTGGGTTCAATGTAGGGAACCTGTTGACGCACTGGCCAAGGCTTTCTCGCATGCCCTGGGCCGCAAGCTGCTAGAGGCGAGGTATTCGGAGACCAGGTAGTGGTACGTCCTGGGCGAAAGCGGCTTCGGGATTTACCCACGGACGATGCATCGAGGACACAACTGTGGAGAAGTGGAGGAAGAATTAAAAGATTCCGTGAACAATTCCGAGCTCCGCATCGGGGTTCTTTCAGAAGCCGCATGGCATAGATCCCACAAAGATGGAAATGTGTACCCTGAAGTGCTCGACTTGACTTGATTGCAGTCTATCCTGGAGCAGAGAGAAAGAAAGAGAAAGAGAGAGAGAGAGAGACAGAGAGAGACAGAGACAGAGACCGAGACAGAGACACACAAAAAGGAACGGCAATGACTCGGGTCGGGGCAACATCGCATCGATGCCATACTCCATGAGAGAGTCTCCATGGCCTCAGATCCATTCCCCGGGTGTGGGTGTGTGGGTGTGTGCGGATGTGTGTGGGCGTGGGCGTGGGCGTGGGTGTGGGTGTGGGTGTGGGTGGGTGTGTGCATGCTGCATGCATGGAGCACAACCCCCCGGATGTAAAGCTCATGAAGCAGTCGAAACGTCAGGCCGCGGCTGGAGGAGAACAAGTGCGTGTGCACCTCTGCTTGGCTACCGATCTGGGAAGGCCCAGACGGATGGGTTAAACTTTTTCCTAAACCCCCCAAAGTAGGTAAAATATTGGCCCAATACCTATAAAGGGCTATTATTCTACATACTTTTGGGGTCCAGGTTTTGGTGAGTCTCACACAAATCCAACCAGCCAGCCGAGGTCTGTGCTTGCATCGAAAGCATCAAGAGTCAGAGCAACGATGTTAAAGTCTTGTGCCAAACATCCTCAGCCAGATACTCTATACTCTATAAGGCGACAGTATAATCGAAGAAGTCTTGAAACTAGCTTCGTTGTGATGGCGCTCCAGCTCCTAATCCGAAACCAAACTGGCAGGCGGTGATGCGCCTTTCAGAAGCGAAGGACAGAGATAACTTGCTACAGAGCTCTACACGCGGCACTGAAATTCAGTTCACATCAAAGGAAATGGCTGGACAGTGGCTGCAAGCTACGACACGCGTCCCGACAGCCTTGCTAGCGGTCTTTTCGTGCATTCTACTAGGCGTGCCCTCTTTCACCGACGATCCACCGTCCAGCGAAGAAGGTCAACGAGACAATCAAAAGCTTTTGCTTAAGTTGAGACTGCTACTGCGTCATGCATCCCTGATGTTGACCTTGTCTTCACACAGGCAGCACACTATGCAGCGGATTCCAACAAAACAAACCCTGGCGCTGAGGAAGCCACGTCGACGGCCTCTGCAGCCTCCACCTGCAGGAGCCGGGAAAGCCGGTCCGGGGCTCGTAGCATTCACCCCTTAACCTAGCAGGCAAGGCTCCACAGCAGTCAGGCTGAGGGCAACTAAACGCAACAAGGAGCCAAACTGCTTAGAGATTTTGGTTCAGGGTTTAAGGCTCAAGTTAAGGAGTTCAGGGTATCAGGATTTGGAGACATTTTACGGTCAACCTGAGCGAGCTCCTCAATTGGAATTCAAGGTGAAATTGGGCGAAAGATTCAGACCCGCCACAGTCACTTGGCCTCTTGCTGGATGGCTTCAGCCAGGTGCTTCTGATCCTGTGTCACGCAAGACTACAACAAGGTTCATACCATAGGGACCATGGTGTTGTCCGGAGGCGTTCCTACTTCTCTTCTTTCGACAGGACCCCAAGCCCTGCACTGGCCCGTCACACTACACTTGAAAGACTCGGATGCTCCCACGCTCAGCAAAACAGCTTCGGGATGCTGTAAGGTTGAACCCATCACCTTCAAACATTCTGAACCACCTGCGCCAAAACTGTCATGGATGACATTCCGTTTAGGGAATCGTGCTGTCCCTGGAGAAGGCTGCCCCGATACGAACCCAACTCAATACGGAACCCGACTAACTGCCCGACGGACAGGGTTTGGGCTTACTTCGTATCTGAAGCATCCGAGTGAGGGCATAGGTCGGCTGTGCGGCAGCAGTGAACCTCCATAAACTTTTGTTTTCCGAAAAACAGCGATGCGTTTTTTGGCAGCCAAATGGACAGCGATGTTTGGTTTTGTCAGTCACCTTTCCAAACCCCCAACCGCCAAACCTCTAACCATCCATTCACCCTAGCATCATCAATGCGAAAACGAAACGCTGGTCCATTCTGCTCATCCCACGATGCCCCCGCGCAAGCCACCAGACTTCCATCATGTACGACCCCGTCCATCCCCAAGCCTCAAGGAAGTTAACTGAGTTGTCCTTTAAGCCCTTTGAAAATTATTTACTATTACGGTTCTCTACACAGCAGTAGGGGAAATTAAAAAAGATCCCAAAGGACAACCCAGTTAAGGGTTGCAGGATCCTGTCGGGTGCAGGGTATCTCACCCCTACGGCCCTACAGGCTCTCCGTTTCCCCCAAATACTCGGAGTCCTCAACCTGACCCCTTCCTTCCGCTCCTCCAAGAAAAGCGGCTGCTTCGGGTTCAAGGAGGCCTTGGGCTTTCTTGGGCTTTTTCTGCCTGGTTCTCAGTATTGCATGGGGGGAATGGACTATTATTGGGGATTATACGGGGGCTACTATAGGGATCGATTCCCTACCAAGCACTAGACAGTTGTTTGTTGCTTTCGGGTCTAGGGCTTCGGCACTCGCACTCGGACAACTATAAAGGGAACTCCAGAAAGTTGGAATATGGTTTCAGGGTCGGAAATCTCATAAATTACCATAAAGGGCTTAGGATAATCATATTCCAACTTTCTGGCTTTTACTTTAAGTTAGGGACTCAGGGTTTAGGGTTGCCCTCGGGCTTCTTGGCTTTGGGGGAGTGAAGGTCTAGGGCCAGTTTCGGGGATGGTGGTTTCAGGGCCTAGGGTTCTTTTTGTCATGGGCCACTTTACTATGGTTTTACGAGACAAAATGCTACCAGGACAATAGTTCTGGGCTTATGGGGTTTATACAGTGATGGGTTACTATAGTGTGGCCATGGGGCTTAGGGTTCATATTATGGTGTTTTGCATTTCCAATGGCTTTATGAACAGTATGAGCTACTGAATTTACGGGTCACGTGGTTTCTGGCGGCAAGGCGTCGGGCGTAAGTCGCTCTTTGTGCTTGCTTTCGGGTGGACA